TATATGAACACTATCATCTATGTTTGGATCAACACATCCTATTGAGACATGTCTGGTTTGATTTTGACAATATTCATTTTTGTTTTTTAAGTGAACCCATTGTCCAACATCTAGCGCCAACCATATATTCCTTCCTATAGTTATTATAAGACAAGAAAATTTAGTGGTAATTTTTAAATAGGATTTTTTTTTTTTTCCTTCCATTTGCCGGAATTAAAATTATGACTATTTCATTTTTTCATTAAAATTGTCAATTAATTAATAATATTAGATGATAACAATTTTGTACTCTTATAATTAAAAAAAATAAGAAAATAATTATTTTTATTAGTATATACAACTTAGCTGGAAATATCTTAGAATAAAAATCAAGAGTGAGTAATAATTGATGTTTAAAAGTAAACAAAATAATTAAAAAGTAAGACTAATTTCCATAACAAATTACACCATATACATCACTACATGCCCGTCCTTTTTATAAAATCATTTTAGTTTTTGTTTTAGTGTCATTGATTATTTTCAAAGTTTTATATATGGGTAAGCATGAGTCGGGTAATACATGTCACTTACTTGACCTTAAGTGTTGTCTCGAAACTAATTTAACTTTAAATGTTAATTGGGTGAGTCTTTAAACCCGAACTCGACCTATACCGGATAAATGATAAATGGATTTATTATAAAAATATGTTTATTTAGTGGGATCATTTTATTAGAAAAGAGAATGATTTAACTTCATTAATGAATGCCAATCATACAATAATTGACAATTTTAATATTGTTTTTTACATAATTATAGAAAATTATATAAACGCATGAGGGGAAGTATATGTTACTAAAAAGAAATAGTAGACACGCAATTTTTTCGAAGTTAATCATTGGTTGTATATGTGGTGGCTATTGAGTAATTTGCTACTTCATTAATTTTACAAGTCAAACTCGTTGGAAATTTTTATTGAAAGTTAATATTTATGAGTGTAAAAATAATATTAAATATGTTCAATGGGTTAGTGTCATAAATTAGTTGAGACACCAAAATCATCTCCATGCCCATTTAGTTAGCATTGACAATGAATAACAGGCCCTAAAGAAATCGCAATAGCCTAATCTGTTAAGAATCTTGATCAGTAAGTGCATAATTTTGAATTACTAACTTCAAATCTTGTATTGCTTGCTTCTTAATTAAGTTTTATTAGGAAATTAAATTGATTCATATTTGTTATATTTAAAAAATAAGTTAATATTAATGATTTTTAGACTTCTACCTTTGTCTAAATAATAAGATACAATAAATAGAAATTAATGACTATAATTATTATCGATAAAATATAAATAACATGCGTAAGTTTAATATAAAAATATATTAATTATATTTTTAATGTATATGCTAACCTTTAAAACAAATAAATGGAAATGAAGTAGTACTATTTATTCCCAAGTTATCCATTTTCATACATGAAACGAGCAAAGACTAATTACCTTAACTTAGGTTAGGAATTGTTCCTTTCCTGGCCTAAAGGTTTTGCTTTTGTATATGAAAAGTAACTTTATTTGTTTTAAAGTTTGTATCCACGGTAAAGCTCTTGTTTTTATGCATACAAAGTAACTTTTGTTGCGTTAAAGTTTGTGTAAATAGTAACGGAAAGGATATTATATTATGTAGGAAGTCACTGTGAAGGGTTTTTAACGTGTAGTCAGTAATGTTATATCCTCCTACTAAATCATTCTACTAATCTTCCTACTTGCAAAAGAGTAACATATGTCACAAAGTAATACTTTATTTATTATTTATTGGTTTACAAGTGACACATGTCACTTTCTTATGAATATGAGGATATATCATTTTTATTATTAAGGATAAAGGCCATCTTTCATCTTTAAGGAAGACTGAATTGAGAAAGAGGGTCAACCACGGTTAAACTGAGGTCTAATCTGAGTTTAACATACCAGGGTTGTAATTTTATAATCATATCAAAATGTCAAGAAAAAAAACATTTTCTTTATACATTGCTGGAGTTCAAGTGAGGAAAAAATGATAAATTTTACAAAAAGATAAATGAATGATATAATATAATAATTGCATATTAATCCAATAAATTTTACAATGTATAAGTATTATATTCAAATGATAGGATATTTCATTTCCTTTTCTAATTTTTTATCGGGTCTGAAATCTGAATGATATATTGGAAATGAAAATAAAAATGTTAAAACATGAATATAAAAGTAAGAGTAGTTGAGTTGGACAAAGATCCTCCAGAACATGAATTGGGGACATGTGATCTCATCCATCCAGTTGACTTTGTTATCTCATAGTAAGTACAAAATTCCATTTGGTCAAAACTGAAGAAATGAAGGTATGAGGCGGTTCATTAAAATTTAAAACAAAAACAAAAGGGAGGAATGTAAGAAAGAAACGGTGAGATGAGATAGAACATAAAAGAAGAAGCAAGTTTTGATAAGGATAACGTCACTAAAGAGGCCACGTGACGTCATAAAACAATGGAACCCAATAAACCTTAAACCCACACACTTCTTTTCAACAACATTACACATTCTTCACCCACCCTTATTGCCACCTTGCTTCCAACTCATAACAAAGCAAAGCATAATCCTAAACATACTACCATCATTCAGAAACAAAAAACAGAACAACCTTCCCATCTATGATTCCTATCTTATTAACTATCTTAATTCTTAACCCATACCTATTATTATTATATTATTATTATTATTATTGTTGTTGTTATAGGTGTTGATGGAAGAAAAAAAGATAATGATGATAGAAGGGGTTTCACGTGAAGCACAGATGTCACTTGCTGCATCATCTATGTTTCCTGGGTTTAGGTTCTGTCCCACCGATGAGGAATTGATTTCTTATTATCTTAGGAAGAAGTTGGATGGCCATGAAGATTCTGTTCAAGTTATTTCTGAGGTTGAGCTTTGTAACTTTGAGCCTTGGGATTTACCAGGTTTCTCACTTACTCTCTTTCTTATCTTTCTTTTTTTATTACTACCTCACCTTATTCATCGCTACCACTTCTTCTTCTCAACCTACCCTTGCGTCTAACTACTCCATTGCATGTACAGTAACGGATTCAGGTTGCAGAAGAGTACTTGTGGGTTATTCAGGTTGGAAAATAATGGTCTAAGATCGAAAACTGACCAACTTTTAACATGATTGTGGCACGATATCAAGATTAATTAGACTTGTGATATGTTCTGCTGATTCTAATTATATGAATTTTGAGTTTTGCTCATTTATATGACATGGAGCTCATCATATTGAACCCCTATATAAAAACCATTAGTAATCTATGCATGAAATGGATCCATTTGTATGTTAGGATTAAAAACATTACAAGTTTACAAGTTTACAGGTTATGGTTGTTTGATAGATTCACTTTTTTCCAATTCTAAAGTTTAAACACTATTTTTTATCTTGCATACATATTATTTAACTTTATGTATTATAAAGTGATACAAAGAAACATTCTACAATGTGAGTTTAAAATAGCAAATATTTATGACAGTAAAGGTAGTTGCTAGAAATGTTGAAACTTGCACATTGACTTGTAATTTGAAAGCAGCAAAATCGTTCATTCAGTCAGATAACGAGTGGTTCTTCTTCTCTCCACGTGGAAGAAAGTATCCAAATGGGACACAGAGTAAAAGAGCTACTGAGTATGGGTATTGGAAGGCCACAGGAAAAGAACGCAATGTAAAGTCAGGTTCTAATGTCATTGGCACCAAGAGAACTTTAGTATTCCACTTAGGACGTGCACCTAAAGGAGAGAGGACCGAATGGATTATGCATGAGTACTGCATCACTGACAAAACTCAGGTTAGTGTAATATCTATGCCATAGTGAGTGATTGATGAATTGTAAATATTAAGTGTAAGTAATGTATATTTCAGGAGTCTTTGGTAGTTTGTCGCCTAAAAAGGAACACAGAGTTTCGTTCAAGTGACTCTCAAAATAGAGCTTCTTCAAGCCAAATGCATCTTGTAAATTCACATGAAAGTGATGGTGTGTTACAAGAAGATAAAGAGGGTAGCAGTTATGGTTCTCTTTCAACAGAGCAAATTGATTCTGTGTCTGAATCAAATCAGAGATTAGCTAATGAAACTACTTTGACTGAATCTTCTGGTCACGCAAAGGTAGATTTATGCATCACGGATCCTCAATTTTGATTCATATTAAACAAACAAAATTCAATTTGGTCTTCAAATTATGTGTTAAATTGGTTCATGATTTCACAATAAAGCAACTTTCATGCCTAGTATATTATTAGTCGATTGCGCCCTTGAAAGAAAAGGATAAAATAAAACTGGCCCGATGTTATGAATATCATTTTGTAAACTATATATTTATGATGGTTTTTAGTATATCTAAATGGAACTAATTCAACAATTTGTATAATTTATTTAATACTCATTGTAGGAGGTGAATGAAGAGGATTGTTATGCTGAAATACTAAAGGATGATATTATCAAATTAGATGAATCATCATTCTCAAAAGAGGTCATAAAATCAGAGGATTCAACTCCACTACAGGTGGTTCATCCTAACCAAGGCACAGCGCAAAGGAGAATAAGATTAAATATTAGGAATCCAAGGAAATCTAATGCAGGAAGAGAACCTTGTTTACCAAGCTCAACAAGCCACACATCAATGAATAATAATACCACCAACCGTTTGGTGATATTTGCTTTCATTATAATATCTATATTTTTTTGCCTATATTGGGTGGTCTCAAACATGTGAAATATTATGGGATGTTCTAGTGGGGAGGGTAAAATGTTATGATTAGTGTTCCTTCCAATGATATGTTGCATTAGCCTTTGAGTTTTTTGTGTACAATTGGAAACGCCACAAAAATGGGGTTCAAGAGGACACTATTTGTACCTGATATTTGTGAAGGAAGGTATCGTATGGTAAGGATAATGGTTCTTTTGTTTTTTCATTTATATTGGGTTAGATCCGTATATCTATGTAGTAAACTCAATTGGATAAAGAAGAACTTGTCCTTACCAAGGGATGCAAACTGTTTATTAGCATCTACTTGTTCATGGGATGAGGGCTCATTGATGAAGAAGAGACAAGAGCCATGATTCTCCTGTGTTGTCTTCGATGCCTCATGTATGTTATGTTTTCACAGGTTGATCCCAATGTGTCCTACATTTCAATGTTACAAGACAAAGGGAAGGTAGTTAGTCCATTATAATGACTTCAACAATCTTACTTATTCAAATATATATGCTATCAATGCAAATCTTATCCCAAAATTTTCAACTATTTCATGTGAAGAGTTGTATTAAGCCTTGCACACATGATATTACTTGTAATCATTGGGATAATCACCTCTCTCTTAAAGTAGTTTGTGAGGTGTGGAGTTAAACTTAATTATTCTAGTTGAACAAGCCTTCTCATATGTAAAAAGAATGATGCAGGTGCATCTCTGCCGGATATATATATATATATATAAGTTTAAAGTCCCACAATAATTTTGGCAGAAATTGTATATAATATATAAGGAACCTTGATTTCTTAAATAGAGAGAGGTTATCCAAGTGGCATATGTGCCAAGAAGACGTGAGGAGGACTAATTGGGTGTTTTCCTTTCTCTTCTCCTTTTAAATTCTTTTGACTTCTCATTCAATTTGCTTTATATCATTTTATTTATAATTTCAATGTCTTTTAAAATTGTATTGTATTAGTAAAGGTTTTGGGGTATATTTGAAGAAAATAAAGAATCAATTAATTTTAAAATGGATAAAGATAAAGTTCTTAGCTATGAGGGAAGGTTCAAGTAAGGAAGCTGGTCAACAATTTGGTCGCTGGTCGCTTCGCCGCCATTTCCATCCCACTAATAATAGTTACACTCATTTTTTTGTAATAATATATATTGCTGCCACGCGCAAAATGTGCATGTTATTTCCCCTATCATCATCTTCACAACACGCCTAAAGTAATAAAAGAATTCTCATATTTCGGGTGTAATATTTTATGTAAAGATAGATTTATCCGTGATCTCTGTATCATATCATATATAATTTATTTGTATTATTTTAATATTTTTCTCTTTACTCATTTCCTTCTATTTTATAATCTATGGAAATAATATTTTATTCTATAAGTTTAGCTTTTCTTTTGTACATTTTCTATAAGTTTAGCTGATATGTATGGTGTTGAAAAACCGTCCAAAGTCGGTGATTATTAGACAATTGTATTGCTCCCTCTCTTCCTGTACACCAAAGAAAAAGTACGAGTTTAATATTTTCCATAATTCACAAAATCATTCATTATTATATATTACTTATTTAGTGATTAACGATGATTGTTAAGCCTATTGTCTCATGATATAGACTATATTATATGTTCTTATTTTTATTTCTGAATCAATGCATAAACTATTTTTTCTATAAAAAAATTCTTTTTATTTGCTCCTTTTAGAAGTTTAAAAGTTTCCTAATGACTATTTTTGAAGCGTGACGTTATTTAATGCTTTATTAATTTAAAGTAACTAATGAAAATCAATACAATTATTACTTGTCTTAAGCTGGATTTTTTCTAATGGCAAAATTAAATAGCAAGGAATGAAATTGCTTATGGTTTTATAAAACTTAAAGATTTAATTTACTTACTTACTTTCTTTAATTTAGATGAAAAATAACTTTCAAAGAGCTTTTTCCATTACAAGATAGGTAATTTATTAACGGGTGCAATTTTTTCATTACTATTTTAATCTATACTACTATATAAAGTGAAAACATGATTAAAGGACAATTAGTAAATTGAACATATGCAACTCTTATATAACAATTTTCCCTTTGTTAGAATTTGATACGTATAATATGTATATGTCAATAATTTCAATAGTAAAAATAACCCAACTCATGTTTACAATAATTTCAATAGGACATTCATTTGACTTTATTTATTGTTCATCAGTTTCATTTTTCCTTCATTTTGTAAGTGAAAGTAATTCAAATTGAGAATGGTTTGTAACTATTACAATACCAACCACAATAAAATAACTAAAAAACCACAACCCAGTATTAAAAACCACAATCTCACTATTAATTAATGACTGAACAAATGTGTTTTCTCAAATAATATTCAGAGTTATGGTTGACTTTTGGGGAAATTGTAGTTGTTAATTTCAAATCCTTAGAGTTTTCACACTATTTCTGTTGTTAATAGGGTATGGGAGAGTGAAAGGTGACAAGTGAGACACTACATCTTGAAACAAAACTTTAAGACATTAGTTTCATGAGTCTTTTCTACTTATAAATTCTTTCACTTCTCCTCACATATCTAATGTGAAACTTCATACTTGAATAAACCCAATAGTATCAATCCGATAAAAATTGTTATTGTATATGATAAAATAATTTTTTGTAAGCATTTCTTGCATATAAAAGTTATACATTATATATCAAACAATAAAATTATGAGATGATAGATACAACAACTACTATCAACACACTAGTTGTAATAGAAAACCTTAAGTCATTATTATATAATTCTTCCTGGGCCAATTTGTCTAGTACTTACTATTAGATATTATAGTTTTGATAGAGCTTTTTATCTCTGAGGACACTTAAAATTATTTTCCCAAATTGTCTATTAAAAGTTTTGATTATTTTGTTATGTTTTTATTAAAAATTTGCGAGTTGGTTTTTACAGGGTAATGGAAATAAGAAAAAGACTTGGGAACTATAAAATATATTTGTGGAATGACTCTTCAAGCATTATCTTTCTCTTTCTTCTCATTCAAAATCCAATTCACAAACTTTTATTAATTAATTAAATAATTATTAATTGAACTAATTAAATACATAAATAATTTAAATCAAAATTTTCAATCCCTTATTTTGATATTAAATTTATAATTGGATATGCAAAAAATTTACTTGATGATAAGGTAAGAGAGAGAAAAAAGTAACAAGGAACATATATGCTATCCAAAAATGTATATCACTTTGTATACTTTTTCATTGGTTACAAAATATAAAGTTATTATATATTTAATTTTTGTTTTACTTTTCTGAGTTCTGACCCATGAGAAACAATAGTATCTGACATGAGATAAACTTTAGAAAAGCAAATGTGGTTCCAAAAATAACATGGTTTTTTTGTTGACTGTAACTAATGTAATTTTTTTAAGATTTTGAATTATAAAATTGGAAAAATATTTATTTAAAATGAATTTCATTTTCTAAACATTACAAACTCTTTTTTTTAAAAGCTACAAGTCTCGTTCAATTTTTATTTGCTTAATAACTCTAGTAGCTTATTGATTGAATCAAGATGGAACAAGATACTAACAAAGCTAAAAACTCAGGTAGCCGAACTAAATTAATGTATTTCCATCCTACATCTTAATTCATGAAACATGAATTTCGGAATAATAATTTTATTTCATACAAAATAATTGTATTTAATCATTCAAATGGAAATAACTTCTTAATAAATGATATTTCTTTTGTAAATAAGCAAATACGATTTAATCATTTATTTAGTTGATAAACCTTTATATAGGACATCATTCTTGTATGTATATAACAATTTTGGAAGTGAAGATATATATTTACTTTTTATGTGATGAAAGAGAAATAATCATAAATATAATCTTTTAATAATTGAACTCATAATTATATAATAAAGAGTTGAATCCTTTTAAAGAATTGTATTCTAAATTAATTTGTATAATCCTTATTATAAGAAATATTCTATAAGATTTTAATAGATATTTTTATAAAACAGTTTTTTATTTATATTCAAAATTTATTACTTTTTTCTTCATTTGTATCTATTAAAAGTTTTGATCATCTCTACTACTTAATTGTTGGGGTTGAGACTATCAATTAATAAAATAATATTAAATCAGAGAAATTTGGTAATCTTATAACACTTAAAAATAATAAAAAATAAACTTTTAAATATACAATTTAGTTACAAATATATTATATTAAGGATGAGATGAATATATAATAAATAGTTAATTTCTTATATACTTTTACTCATGACCGTAATGCACTTTGAAAGTGGATGAGAAATCCAAACTCCAATTTCATTTCTCACACCAAACCAATGTTGTGAACTATAGATTGGATTAGGCAGTTTGAGTGTTGACTAAACTTTAAAATGATATTGATTTATAATTTTAATCCAATAAGGGTTAATAGCTTTTAATTAGGAAAATTCTGACTCGACTATACTAAATCAGAATAACCTAAAAAACGAACCAAATAGTACATTTAATTTTTTTTGTTTTATATAATTATATATCTATAGAAATTATTAACACTACATGAAAAATTGGATCTAACCAAACTGTTAAATTTGTAAATCGATAAACCTAATATAAGACATCTTATATTTTGATGTCCAACTGATTTCAATATCAACCATACACTTACATAAATCTTAATGAAAGTATTTGAGCTAATATTTTTATACATTCTAGAAATACGTATTCCTTCAAATTTGAGTATAGAGAGGCATGAAAAATGTGGAATAGGTAGCAGCTGCAAATAGATTAAATATGGAAAATAAATAAATTATTGATTGGATTAGATTTTGTTAGCAAAAATAGATAAGTAAAGGGTTTTTGTGTGTATATAAAAAAGAGAAAGAAAAGGTGAAAAGAATAAAGAAATAAATGATAATAATGAAATGGATTGAAGTGAGTGAAGATGAGCAGAAGCATGATGGTTTGAGTCAAAGTATATACACGCTTTGAACAATTGAACTTGGACCAATTCTTTATTAACATTGAACTTGCAATAACCACACCTCTCTCTCTCTCTCTTCACGCTATATACATCCCCACACTTTCCAAGCAACACCCTTCTCCCTTCATATATAACTCACTCTCTCCTTCACATCATAACCAAAGGCTTCTCTCTTTCTTGTTGTTGAGAAAATAATAAATTAAATATGTCTTTGTTGAAGGATGACCCTAATTTGAAACCGATTTTGATTCGTGATGTTTGGGCCTCTAACCTTGAAGCTGAGTTCAACCTTATCCGTGACGTCATCGACAATTATCCATTCATCTCAATGGATACTGAATTCCCCGGTGTTATCTTCCGTCCTCCGACCGGATCTTCCTTCAGCCACCTCCACCCCTCCGATCACTACCGCTTCCTCAAGTCTAACGTTGACTCTCTCAACTTAATCCAGCTCGGTCTCACACTCTCCGACGTCAACGGTAATCTACCGGATCTCGGCACCGCCACAAATCGCTTCATATGGCAGTTCAACTTTAGTGACTTTGATGTGGCGCGTGACCCTCACGCTCCAGACTCGATCGACCTCCTCCGTCGCCAGGGGATTGACTTCAGCCGAAACGTGGAGGAAGGAGTTGATTCGGCGCAGTTCGCAGAGCTGATGATGTCGTCGGGGATTGTGTGCAATGAGGATGTGAGTTGGGTGACTTTTCATAGCGCGTATGATTTCGCGTACCTG